TCGCCACCGAGGAGGCGACCATCAAGCCCGCCGCCGCCGAGGAGGCCGCCGTCGCCGAGGTGTCCGCCTCCCAGGAGGCGCCCGTCGCCGAGGCGCCCGTCGCCGAGGAGGCCGTCGCCGAGGAGGCTGCCAAGGAGGTTGAGAAGCCGGCCAAGACCGTTTCCAACACGCCCGACCCAACGGTGAGCGCGCCGCAGCATTCTCTCCTGGCACTCCTCGCTCTCCCACGTAATAATCTCCCTTCCCGCGTGCTTGCAGGACACCACCTGCTACCCGGGCCTGCCCACGCCGATGGCGGCTGGGAAGAGCGGGCCCGCGTCGGCCCGCAGCGGCTCCGGACCGGGCTACGTGGACGGCGTCGAGGCTGCAGTCCGTCGGCTGGGCGAGAGCGTCAGCTACCAGGCTACGCCCGCCGACGGCAAGAAGTCGCCGTCGCCGGGAGTCCCCACCTCCGGCGGCATTGCGCCCGTGGCGCCCAAGCCCCTGAGCGCGGTCGCGGGCGCGGGGCTGGCTGAGGCCGCGGCCGCCGAGCGGCGCGAGCACTGGGAGGGGCGGCTCAAGAAGGCGATGGCCGCGCTCGATCTCATTGCCGAGCAACGGGAGAAGTGGGCGGACTTGCAGTCGCGGCGCTCGAGGAAGTGCCGGCGCAAGGCAAGGCGCTGCCGCAACAACCCCACGTTTGGCAAGGCAAAGGGCAGGCACAAGTCTGGCAAGGCAAAGGGCCGCGGCCGCGGCCGCGGCCGCCGCGCGAACTGGCGCCGCGAGCCGCAGACCACGTCCGGCAAGGCGCCATTCGCCGCTGGCACGTGCGGCGCCGGCGCTGGCACGTGCGGCGCCGGCGCTGGCACGTGCTTCGCCGGCGGTCGCGCCGCCCTCAAAGCGGCGGCCAACTGCGTGCGGGGCGGCTACACGAAGGCCGAGGGCGCCTTCCGGTGGCTGCTCCTCGTCTGTATGCCCGCCTTCGGCCACTGCGCGTCCGCCGTGCCTAGCCCGACGGCGGTGGCCTCGGCCTTCTCGTCTACCGTCGCCTCGGCGTCCTCGGCCTTCTCATCCGGCGTCGCCTCGGCGGCGTCCTCGGCCTTCTCGCCCGCCGTCGCCTCGAATCCGTCCTCGCTCGTGAGCTGCTCGCCGCTTCTCATGCCCGCAATCGTGCTCATCCTCCTCGCCATCGCTTGCGGCGCCTCCTGGCCGACCGCGGCGAGCGGAAAGGGGGCTCGCGGCGCGGCGTGGGCCACCTGCCTCGCCGCCGCCACGGCGCGCCTCACCGGCACGGCGGCGGCGCCTGCCGGCTTCTTCGCGAGCGCCTTCTCGTGGCTCGCGGCGGGTCCGCCGCAGGTCGCCGCCGCGGCCGCCGCCCTGGCCGTCGTCGGCACGGTAATGTGGCGCCGCAACTCAAAGGCCCGCCGCCTCGGCTGGTCCAGCCTGCTCGGCATGCTTCTCTGCTTGCCCACCGTCTCTGGAGGCTTGGTCACCGCCGCTGGCGGCGCCGCGCTTGCTGCATCCTCAACTGCGCTACCAGACGTCACTGCGCTTCCGGACTCAGATTCCGCGACGGCGTGCTTCAGGGCGACCAGTGCTGTTCGAATACCGTCGGTGAAGAAGGGACTCTGCAACCAGCGCATGCGTATGGTGCAAGACATCGTGATCGCCCATCTGTTCGGTGGGGCTGTCATTCTGCCGGAGACTGTCTTCTCTCGAGAGGGCTGCAACTTCAAAGCTGAATGCTACGGGCAGTACACTGGAATGATTCCATTCGCGGATGTCTACGACGTTGAGAGTACCTCCCGAGCACTTGCTGCTGTCGGTGTCTGCACTATGTCGGAAGGAGCTGCGGCCACAAGATTTCAGCCGTCAAACGTGAAGCTATCTGTGCCCGCGTCGAAGCTATCTCTGCCCGCGTCGGTGTCCGAGCTACAGGACGTCGCCGAGACACACCAGAAGATCTTCCTAGGGCGGGTGTGGTCCGTCGCTGACAGCACCGTCTGTTGCACGCTTGTTGTCCCAGACTCGGAGCTGGCGGTTCGTCTGCTTCGACAGGTGGCTGCCGCCTTCATCCCTGCTCCTCGGATCGTGTCCTTGGCGACGCAGGTGTTGGAGCGCTTCTATAAGCGTGCTCACGAGGAGGCGGCCACCCCAGTTGCTATTCACTGGCGTGGGCAATCGGACATGGCCGCATCTTCTCATGCGCTCAACATCACAGCATACACAAACATGGCTGCGCGCATGCTCGCTCCGCTCAAGCCGCTGTGCTTGTTGATCTTGGGGGGTGCCAGCGCGTCAGAGTTGGCCGAAATTCACGCCCGCCTGAGACCCGCCTTTGGGCATCGTGACCACGCGCTGCGACTCTATTCCAAGGAGACGCTAATGCCCGGAATCAAATGGAGCCGCCATTTTGGTGGATACGACGACTTGGTTGGAATGGTGGACCTTGAGATTGCCCGCAAGGTCTGGACATTTATTGGAAGCCCGTTTTCCTCCTTCTCAGTGATTGCTGCCACCATGCGAGCGCTTCCCTGCTCGCCCGCAAGTGAATGTGTGGATACGAGAATGGTGCCCGTCGACGTGTCTGACCAACTTGGTCGCATCTTTTCCCTGCAGTTTCCGTACACAGACGACACGCTTCGGGACCGATGCAAAGCATTGACCAGACTGCACGACTGGCACAAGCCAGGAGAGTGGAGCTGCCCTACTCAGCCGCGTGCATCGCACCGCTTGCGGCCGGTGATTGCGCGTCGAGGCCGAGGAGGCCGCCGTCGCCTCCAGGCCGACGCGCACTCACCGTCCGCGAGGACGAGGCATCCGCGGTGTGGGGTTCTGGGCACGTCGCTGCACGTCAACCAACCAATCGATGCTCCGAGCCGCCTCGGCTTCAACTGCACGATTGCCGTGATTACCGCCCTGTACGGTGGCTACGATACGCTGCACAGCTACTCCCGTTCATTCCAGGCGCGGCTGGGTCGACAGGAGCGCGAGCATGGCGTTCACACTTGCTGGTTTGCCTTTGTAGATGCTGCCTCCGTCCCGGATCTGAGCGCGAGTGAGATTGCGCAAGCCAAGGCGGCCTTCAACACCACGGCCCTCGACGGTGGGTCTTGGGTGCAGTCCGGGGGGTGGAACCTGGTCATGCTACCCGAAGGGCAAATGACCGCAACGCTCCCTGAGCACAACCAACTCCGTTCTCGGCTGCCAAAGATGATGGCGCATTGCGTCTTGGCCCATGCCAAAACGATGCTCTACATCGATGCCAAACTCCACCTCAGCGAGCCAAAAAGCCTGTGGACAATGGTGGAGCAGCTCAAGCCAGCAAGCCTGTGGACAATTCAAGCACGTGGAGATGGGCCTGGAAGCGCGTGGGTGGCTCCGAGGCATCCCTACCGCTCCTCGGTGCGCGACGAGCTGGTGTGCCTATACCTGTCAGGGATCATTTCCGAACGCGCGTTTGCTCAGCTACGAGCGTACCATGCCGACGGCTTCCCAAGCGAGTTGTCTGAATATGCGGGCGGCCCCGGGCTGGTCGAGGGTGAGTGGCATGCGCGAGACTTGCAAGCAGCCGAGTCGACTGCACTCGCCAACGAGTGGTTTGACGAGTGGTGGCGCTGGAGAGAGCACAACACGCGCGATCAGATCAGCTTCATCTACGCCGCCTGGCGGATGGGCTTCCTGCCTCCGCAGAACCAAACTCAGGGCAACAGGTCTGCGGTAGCCCAGCCGCAGCCGAGAAGCAGCGGGCTCAAGGGCTTTGCGCATTTCAGATCATCTTTGCCACTCGCAACTGCGGTGAAGAGTTGTGATGCCCAACCCGAGGGTTGGTCTTGCTACCTTATGCGGTACGCTGACCTGGGCAGGAACCTTCATGGTAGGACGGCCGCCAGGAGACACTTTATTCGATTCGGGTTCAACGAGAAGCGCACCTGCCAGTGTGATGGCACAGATGTTGTTTCGCGCAACACCCACAACCGCGCCCGCGCGTCCGCTGGCACAGAGAATGCGCTTCTCGCCAGCCGCTTTGCCTCTATGGAATCCGCTTTGCCTCTGGAAGAGGTCAATCGACTTCGTGACGGCCACCGATGGTGCGCATTCCCTTCATTTGCTCTGGACAACGCAGATCTCACGCACCACCTACAGGGGCTTTTGAGGGGACGTCACAACCTGTCGCGTTGAATGTCTCGTCTGTGTGGAGGTGTTAGACTGTTAGACAGGCGTAGACGAGCCCTCCCCCTCTATAATTTCCCCTTCACATAGCACAGTTGTGTGTGTGTGTGTGTGTTTCTTGGGTTGTAAAATTCTTTTTTTTTCGTCCGTGGCAGGTGCCAGGTGGCCCTCTCGAGCCGCCTCCTTTGAGCGCGGGTGATCAAGGGTCCGATCGGAGTCGAGGGGTGTACCTGGCGATCCAGCAAGGGCTTAAAGCCGTATGCGCGAATGCGTTTCTCAGGGTCGTGTGGTTTAGCCGGATATCGACCTGGTGTCCCGTGGGGAAGGTATTGAGCTGCCCCAAAACGGAAAACGGAACGTCGGAAGGGCACGTCCTGTTCACGCGATGGCCAGCCGTGGTCTGAGCCTGAAGGCGGTCGGCGAGAGTCGGGTGGGCCACCAGCAGCAGAGAGCTCTGGTTAGTTCCAGTTCACTCTGACACGCTAATCTTGAAAACGCGTCCAACGGAGCTCCGTGTTGCTCCCAGCGGAATCCCCCGCGCTTCCTGCGGCCATGGCCGATGATACTAGTATGAGAGGTCATCTGGCTACCGCGAGCGCGACTCAACTCGCCGACGTCGTCCGATGATTGTGCCTCAAAGTCAGCCTCCGGAGGCTATCGTGGGGTCGAGCCGGCGGTAGCCGTGACATGTGGTTCCACCACCCCTCGCAGGCTTTGCCTCTGACCGCCACCGTTCCCAGGCTGCCTAATGGGATGGAAAGGAAGGCTGGGCGAGCGTATAGAAGCGTGCTCGACCTCGTCGTACCGTCCACTCGGCGGGGTCGCAGCTGCCTCTGGAAGGCACCGAGATGTACCTTTTTGCCGTGCGCAAGTCGCTGACAGTGGTCGGGCCGGTGTGGCTCTCGAGCGCGTTCGAGCAGCTTGGCATCATCTATGAGCAGGACCCGCACTCGAACGCGGAGACGAGCTACGCCGTGGTCAAGACGGCAAGCAGGAGCTCTTCTGGCGCTGCAGCGCTCGAGCAGCGTCGGGGACGGCCTTGACCGCTTAGGGAGAGCTCGATTGCGGCGGCGGCGGCGGCGACGACGACGACGAGGCGGCGGCACCGTCGCCGCCACCCACCATCGGCCACCATCACACCATCACACCATCACACCATCACACCATCAAACCATCACACCATAACACCATCACACCTCGTCGGCGGAGGCGTGGGGGGCGGTGGCGTCGGGGGACGAGGGCGTCGCGACTCTCCCGCTCGCCGCCGTCGCCATCGGGGTTGCGTACTCCCGTGCCGGGCCAACCGCACCTGCGCCGACGGCGAGGGCGCCTCAGAGCCGCTCGTGCTCGACGCGTTTGCGATCGGCCGCCTCTGCTCGGGCGAGATCCGCACCTGGGACGACGACTACCTCGTCTCGCTCAACCCGTGGCTCGTCGGCGTGGGTACCGTCCCGATCGTGCTGCAGGCGGAGCCCTCGACGTCGGACACCATGGCCGCGCTGCGGGACAAGCTGCAGGCACTCCGGCAGCGGGCGGAGCTACTGGCAGGAATTCTGAGTCACCATCGTCGGGACATGCTGCAGGCGCTATGACAGCTGACGGAGCCGGACGGCGCCTTCTGCCCGGCGGTGCAGCCTTCGTCGGCGCGGGTAAGCTCTGCCGTCCTGCACGACGAGTACTCGCTCAGCATCCTCCCAGTCGGAGGCGCCGCGCCCGGAAGGCTGGGCCAGCCCGGCGACGTGCACGATGGAGTGAATTGATGAATCACTCGACAACTAGGCGCCGTGTCGCACGGTTGGGCCAGCCTGGCGGATGCGGATGTGCCCGCCGCCTTGCTAAGAGCGGAGAGCCGAGCTCTGACCTCTGTGGGTGTGGGGCGGACGAGCCAGACGTGACCTGTGCGACGTTGGGGGATGTGAAACTTGAAAGAAAGAAAATGAATCACAGATCCCATGCGGTGCGCACAGTCCACAGCCTGCCGGGACCGCCCGCTCCCGCGCGCCCCCAGGGGCCCGCCTCCGAAGCCCCGCGGCAGACTCGTCCTCAGGCTCAGCCCCACGCTGTCTGGCAGAGCGGGCAGCTCGACTTTTGCGACGAGGAGAACCACTTGTACAGGCAAGCCGCGTGGAACTTGTTGTGGCAGGTGCGGCAGGAGAGCTTCGGCAGCTGGCGGGTGGTGCCGTGCACGATGGCGTAGCAGATGGGGCACTCCTCGACACCTACCGCGCAACAAGAGTGCTCAGGGCTGGCAGGCCGTCATCACCCGCCGGGGCGCGCCGCGCTCCCCCTCGCCTTCAAACACGCGATCGACATTCTCCTTGAAGAGGGCGAGCGCGTCGCGCAGCGAGCCGTTCTGCGCGAGCAGCATCGTCGAGATGGTGCGCTGCCACTTCCGCCACCGCGCGTCCGACACGCCCGCCCGCTGCGTGCACTCCACCTCCACCGCGCGGAGCGGGTGGGCCCGGTCGAGGCGCAGCACGATCTGCATGTACGTGCCCTCGTACGAGTAGGTTGCCGTCACGCTGCGCGCGCCGATCGACGCCTTGACGACGAAGTCGTCGCCCGAGCTAGGCGCGGCGGAGATCGCCTCCGCCTCGCGCCGCAGCAGCGCCGGCGTGACGTGCAGCTCCGTGTAGCGCGCCACCGCGGCATGCGCCGCGCGCGAGAGCTCCGAGGTGTACCAGTGGCGAGCGAGCGCCGGCACCCTCGACAGCAGGGCTGCAAACACCGCCACCGCCACCTCTGCTGCGCCGGGCGGCGGGTCGCTCTCGCCGAGCGATGTGGGCGCCGCCAGAGATGCGGCTCCGGAGCCGGGGGGCGGGCGGGCGAGCGGCAGAAGGGGAAGCAGCGTCTCGTTGAGGAAGCCGGGCAGTCCCGAGTGCTTCCACCCGGCCGACACGCGCGCGGCGGCTGTCGGACGAGCGTGTGCTAGCAGAGCGAGAGCGGCGCTCCACGCGAGCATACGAGCCTCTGCGTCGGCCGCGTCCCCCATCAGCTCCTCGAGGCGGTCCAGCGCCACCATGGCCTCGCCGTCCGCGGCGGCGCGACGCCCCGCGACCGTCTGCGCCGCGCCGCCAAACAAGAAGCGCAGCGGCAACGGCTCGTCGGCGTCGCCCTCCTCCTCAGCCCCCTCCTCGCTAGCCGCGGCGGCGCCAGCCTCCGCCTCCGCGCTCTGGAGGCGCTCGAAGAGCGCGAGGGCGCCAAACCGCACCGGAGAGGAGCGCGCGCCGATCAGCGGCGAGAGCGACGCGATGGCGGCCGCAGCGGGCAGCTGCACCGCGGGCATCGAACGCAGCGCGGTGAGGGCATCGAGGAGCGCGCGCTGCGACCACCGCAGCCGCGCCGCGCCGTGAGCGCGCTTCGTCAGGAGCAGGAGAAGCGCGCGCTGCAGCCGCTCGCACCGGTCTGCGGCGGCACCGACCCCCTCGCTCAGAGCCTCGCTGTCCACCGCCTTCATGCTCGCGGCGCCAGCGCCGGCGAGGAGAGCCGCCGCCGCCGCCGCCGCCGCCGCCGCGCCCGCACCGTGCTCGGATGTGTCGAGGGGCGGCACCTTGCCGAAAGCCTCGACGAGCGCGCTGCATCCGCTCACGACAGCAGCCCACCCGTCGCCGCCATCGCCATCGCTGCTGGCCGCCCGACGCAACGCGCGCTCCACCGACGCCGCCATCCAGCGCGAGTGCGCGAGCACGACGGGGAGCGACGCGGCGGACGCGGCTGCCGCCGGCAGCAACACCCCGAGAACGGCGCACAAGGCGGTGTCGAGCGGCGCGGCCAACTTGCTCATCTCGACGGTGAGAGAGAGACGCCTCGCTTGCTCGAGAATCGGCTCCGCCTACAGCCGAGCGACTCGCGTCAACGCGCGCCTCCCTCCACCCCCTCGTGCGTCCTTCCATCCTGGGCGGTAACGTCGGAAGCGGGCAGCAACGTCGCGAGGAGGCGCAACCGCGCCAAGACTCGCCGCTCTTCCCTGATCTCCGCCGCCTCCGCGGCGTCCTCCGCGGCGGCGCCGCTCTCCGCCGCCGCGCCCCCGCCTCCGAATCGCGCCTCGGCGGCCCTCGCAGCCGCGGCAGCGCCGGGACGGAGCGACAGGAAGCTGTCGATCGCTTGCCGGGCCAGCGATGCGAGCGGCGCGGGCGTGGGAGCGGGCGCGGCCGCGCACGCGGCAGAGACGCAGACGCGCAAGACGTGCAGGGCGGGGCCCGGTGTGTCGCCGCCAGCCGCACCCTCAATTGGCCCGAGCTCGGCGGGCAAGGCAGCCGCGAGGCTCCCGCCCGGTGCGAGCAACTCGGGCGCACGCGCGGGACCAGCCGCGGCGAGGAGCAGCGCGAGCGAACGGGCGGCGGCAGCGGAGGCCTCCCGATCCGCTCCGGGCCCGGCGGCGAGCGCCCGTTGCACGGCCGCGGCGGCGGCACCCGGGAGCGCCGAGGCCCAGCGGCTGCCGAGCGCGGGGAGCAGCGTGCACGACACAAACGCGCGCAAAGTGGTGAGAGGGCCCAGAGAGCCGCACCCGGCCGGGACCGGGACGTCTTCGCCACCCGGGACTCCGCCGAGCCCGAAACCGCGGCGGAGCGCGAAGCCAACCACCTCGACCGGCAGAGCAGGCAAACACGCAAAGACAGCCTCCTCCACGGATCGAGACCCCGCATCCTCCGAGGCCGCGCCACTATCGACGCGCGGGCCGCGCAGCAGCGCTACCGCGAGCATAGCGAGCAACCACGGCCGCGATTCGTCGCCGCCAGCGGCGCGCTCCCAAGCCGCCGCTCCCAGAGTGTCCTGCAGGTATGCGAGCACGCCGCCGCCGCCGAGCCGCACGAGGCTCCGCACCTAATCCACCGACCTCCTTCTACGGATGAAGCAGGGGCGCGAGGGGCCAGCGCCCAAACGCTCTCGGCGCCATGTACGCCCAACGGCGAAGCGCCGGCCGCCATCGCGTGTGGCTGTCGAGCGATGCTGGCGCCGTGCCGGCAGCGGCGGTGCAGAGCTCCACCAGAAGTGCCTCGCGCTCGCCGCGCGAGAGCGGACCGCCCTACCAAAAGTCGCGGCCACCGTGACGTGGGGAGCGCGGCCGCAACGGGCTTCGCGCGGCTGCCACCGGCGCCTCGGCTGCGAGCGGAGACGCCTCCGCCCACAGCCTCGCAGCGAGGGAGAGGGTCTCCGCGCACATCGCCGGCACCGAACTCGTCTCGGCGGCGTCCGCCTCTGCCTCCGCCTCCTCCTCCGCCTCTGCCGTCGCATCAGCCACAATCGGCTCCAGAGCGAGCGCCTCGAGAACAGTCTCGTCGGCCTACGGAAACGGCAACCCCCCCGATCAACCAACCCGGACCCGCGCACGCCAACGAGGGCGCGAAGAAGCGAGGTCACCTCCCCAGCGAGGCGCGGCTGGAGATCGCCGCCGCCCTCCTCCTCGCCCTCCGCCTCGTCGGTCCGCTGCGGATGGAAGAGCCACCCGTCGACCCACCGTAGCCCGATCAAGCTGAAGATGGAGCGCAAGCACGCCGCCACCACCTCCGAGCACAGTGTGTCGTCCTACGCCATGTGTACACCGAGGTCAGGGCGGGAAGACGGCATTGTGCAGACTCCTCAGAGCACCGTGTGGATACACGGGCTGCGCGTACAATGATCCGAGTACGGCCGAATACAGTCGTACACGTGTCCTCTCGAGCGCTAGTCGGAATACAAGAGTCCGTCTTCCGCTTCTCGGTGCGCCGTCCTCCCCAAGGGTGCACACGCCGCGCAAGGCAGGCGCAGCGACGCGCAAGGCCGCGCGTGCGCGCTCCCCCCACGCGTCGCTCCGGCTGCTCTGAAGCCACAGCGGGTCCGCCGCACAAGGCCAGCGGTCCCCCTCGGCGCACGCGTCGCGCAAGACATCTGCGCACGCGTGCAGCACCGCCGCCGTCGCCGCGCCGCCGAGCAGCCGCACGCCGCCGGGCGCACACGCGAGCAGGAAGCGCTCCGCCGCCTGTGGGGGGCCGCCGCCAGCCTGCCGGCCGAGCGCGGCCTCCGCAGCGCCTTTGGCGAGGCGGTCGAGCTCGGCGCAGCTCAGCAGCTGCTGGGCACCGCCGCCGGCCTGGGCAGGGCTGCCGCCCCCCACCGCCGCCGCGAGGTCGGCCAGCAGCGCCACCAGCCACTCCCACGCCGCCGGCACCGAGCGGAGTACCGCCTGCCAGTGCGTCCGCGCGAGGTCTCTGCCGCCGCCCCCCTCCGCCTCCCACTCCTCCGAGACCAGCCGAGCGAGGAGGAGCCTCGCCGTGCGCCGCGACACCTGCCCCTCGGGCGAGACGCCGGAGACCACCGCGCTCGCCCACGGCAGCAGCGTCCCGCGCATCAGATCCGGCGCGGCACAAAGCGCGGCGGGGACCGGCTGGGCGCGCACCGCGACGACGCTGCCCGCCGCCGGCAGCAGCTCGACCGCCCACCCGCCGCGGTCCGGGGAGCACGCGCGTGTGACGGAAGCCGCGAGCGCGCACAGGCCAAAGTCGCGGCACAAGGCGACCAGCAGCGCCGCGGGCCCGTCGGCGCCGGAGCGCGCCGCCGGGAGGAGCGAACCAAAGCTCTCCTCGCCGACGGCAGCGCAGAGAGCGGAGAGCTGGGCCGCCGCTCGCTGCTGCTGCTCAGAGGCGGCGCCCTGCCCCGCGGCGGCAGCCACCGGCCGCGGCGCCTTGGCGCGGAGGGCGAGCGGCGCGTGCATGGCCCGCAGCAGCCTCGACGCGCTGGCGGCGGCTCGCGCAGCCTCGCCGCCTCCGCCGGCGCCGCCCTCCCCGGCCGGGACATGTCCGGGACTTGTCCCGGCCGCGGCGTCCGACGCGGCCCGCGCAACCGCCCGCACGAGGTCGGCCCACATCGATGCGGTGGAGGGGGCGCAGCGGCTCGAGAGGGCGATCCGCACGGCCGCGTCCGCGAGCCCCGCCTGTGGGGGGGGGG